CGTAATTACCTTGATAACACCCCCCTTATTACATATTATATTCACACAACAATATTATTATTATTATCTCAGTTGACAAAATTATTTTCAATTTTGCAATAGTACTATTATATTATTTTATTGTGACTGAACAATTTACTGACCTTTATTGAATGACCTTTCTAATTTGCAAATATTACAATTTTTTGAAGTATGTATATATATCGTAACAGATGCAAACGCTCACCATTTTTTAACACATAACATTGTCAAACTCATTAAAACATGCCTTATTTTTGGCCTTTGTAAAATATTATAATTATGGACTTATAACTGTAGAGCCTGATGATGAAGTTATTGAAAACAATTGTTCGCTCAAATATTCTTCGTTTTTTTAAATAAGGTACAATTTACATAAACGCTCCTGACTAGGTTATGTGATTAATAGACATAATGATGTATTAAAATAAACAAGAAACAGGTGGCTCTGATATATTCAAGCCTCATGCTGCCTCATGGTGTGATGTTAAAAATGATATTTATCAACTTGGCATTTCATTTTTGTTAGAAATTGTATTATTTTATTCTTTGTTTTTGAGATTCCCTATGTATGATTTCTTTCGTTTACACCGTGGGTAAAACTCATTTTTCCTTTTTAGTTTGTTTTAATAGGCTAATTTTCTGTCCTCCTCCTCCTCCTCCTACTACTACCATGCTAATTGTAAATCAATTTATACGCATTAGATGCTTTATTAAAACGGTCGTTTTTCTTAATCTTTCCCAATAAATCATCATGACAAGGATTTTTTTAATTAGATTTGTCTGGTAATGTGATGAGAGGGTTTTAATTTTTATCTGAGTTATCCAAATCCCACTAGAAAATTTCTTCTCATGTGAACATATCGTGCAGTTTTTCCAATTTCTAGCTTGTGAGAAAAAAATAATTTATCTGGAAAGAGTAGTAAATCATTGTAATTGAATATATTTAGTGTTCACTGCTGCTCATTTTTTAATGATCTTTAAAACGGTTGAAGATTGATATATAGACAAGTGACGAATTTACACTAATATTTTTGTAGTCGGTGTTCAGAACTCTCCAATATAATCAGATATGTTACATTGAAAATGATGGAAAAGATTTGTAACTCAGGTGGATGATTTTGATAGAGATTTATTCTCTGAACTAGATGGTTTATTCGTGGAGATTTCACCGTTCTTCTGAATGACATCGTCAGTACAAACTTCAGGTAGAAGTGAAGTGTTTGAATTCCTCCACATGTGGTTTACAGGTCAGCAAGAGCCAATCAACATCGATGGTGGCCTAGTAATCTGTAGACTAAGCGTCTGCATGTAAAGCCGAAGGTTCCAGGTTCGATTTCATTTGACGTGGTTGTAGATGCTCAATGCTGAGGAGCCCCATACTAGGACAAAATGGACGTCTATTATTTCTTGGTTTTCAATAGTCATCTAGCTAGAATCAGTTCATGATTAACACCATGAAAATTCTATAATCTCCACAAATCTACATATACTAATAATTAGCTACTTTGACAATTGAACTTGATACTAATTTAGTGTGATTTCATTCAATAAACACTTATAATACTGAACATCAAAGAGTACGTGACAATCACGCTTATTAGATAATAAAATAATATGCGATTCCATTAATTTTCTTAAAGACATCTATCAACATTTTCCATAAAAAATATCAAGAATATCTATTGTTTAAATCAATTCATGGCGAAACTCCAGTAGATCACTATTTGAGTGATTTCTTTAACATTTGAATAACGTTTCGACTACATGTCAAGCTGATTTACATGCCTATCGTGTGGTGAAACTCTCTTCAGTAATACAACGGACTACAGTGTAAAGTCATGCATGGAGGACAGCTGACAGATGCATTCCTAGTGAGGACCAGAGGCAGACAAGGCTCTTTACTCTCCTACATTCTCTTTCTTCCAGTGGTCGACTGGAATATGAAAACCTCGACATCACAGGAGAAACACGGGGTACAATGAACAGATCTGAATCAGTTAGAAGATTTGGACTTGCATTCCTACAATTGAAGAACATATATGCAACTCAAAACAACAGTCTATCAGATAATATCAAAGTCAGAATCTTCAATACGAACGTCAAGACAGTTCTACTGAACGGAGCTGAAACTAAGAGAACTACAACAACCACCATCAAGAAGATACAAGTATTTATAAATAGTTGTCTACGCAAGATATTCAACTTTCATTGGCCGTATACTATCAGCAACACCATTTTGTGGAAGAGAACAAATCACCTTCCAGCTGAAGAGGAAATTAGGAAAAGACGATGGAAATGGATAGGACATACATCACGCAAATCATCAAACTGCATCACAAGGCAATCACTAACTTGTAATCCTGAAGGGAAGTATGAAAGAGGAAGGGCAAATAATACATTACGTCGGGAAATGAAAGCAGATATGGAAAGAATGAATAACAACTGGAAAGAACTGGAAAGTGTTGTGCAGGGCAGCGTTAGATGGAAAGTGTTGATGTTCGGCCTATACTCCTCTAGAAGGAATAACAGGCAATCCAATTACTACTTCAAATATCTTAACTAAATAATCAATTCATATTGTATATGCATCATACATGAACAAGACTTGATTTCAGATATTTCAGTAGTAATATAAATAAAAGGATAATATTTGCAACAAATTAAAAGAAAAACTTGAAAAGATTTGACATTTTCTAATATCAATGATGTAATCTAATCATATGAAAAATTCTAATTATTTGATATGAGTTCCATTATGTAGTATTATCAATGGTTCCCTTTTCATGCATTTATATATATATATATATATATATATATATATATATATATATATATATATATATATTATCCTAATACAAATGATGGCACTTCAAATTATAACATTGTTCTGGATAATGTTACATCTGTCATTAATCATTTCATTAAACGTAATCATTTTAGGTATTCCCTGATATACTAGTTGTATATATAGTTGTATAGATATCTATGGTGAATATCATTTCAGAAATTACAACGATTTACAGATATGATCAAATTCATTTGGAAACAGAAAAGAAATAGGATTACATTTTAGTGCCTCGTAATCTGACTCCAGCAAAAATCGTTTCTGATTGCTAATGAAATATATATGTCGCCTATCCTCGTATATATATTTATCGACTTAACTCAAGTTGGTGAATAATGGAATTAAATAAGTCAAATAAGAGAAAGAATTTCAAATATGTACATTTCATACAATCGTTGATTCAAACAAAATATCGGAGAATAGAATAGAATAGAGCGAAGCGAAATGACGCACAGTGGAGATGGCGGGTAAGCCAACTCCATTAAGTCAACCGTCAATCAATATTTATAGTCACACAAAAATAAGCTACACATATGTGATGAATAGGAGAAGAAATGTACACCCACATATGTGCTCATATAAAAACAGTCAAGATTGATCATTAACAAGGTCAAAATGTGACTCAAGTAGAATGAACATACTGGCCTGTCTGAAAGCTAGAATAAGGTATATGGGTTTAACATAATAACCCATACTACAACATTTAATGAGACTGTTGTTTTTGTTATTTTCAAGGGTTTGTTATAAAGATTTTGATAGTATGAATTATATGACATAGGAAAAATGAGGTGAGATTATAATTTATGGGCGTTATTTGGAGGACGCTCAATTAACTTTAAGAGTCCACCTAATAACTAGGACCAAATGAGGGTTATAAACTAGCATGAGGAATTGAAATTGTGATTTACATTTGATGATTAAGATTAGGAATTGGTTTTCATCACGAACTGACATTAGTTATAATGCCAAAACTCTATTTCGCCCCAAAATCCGAGACCTGTTATCTTATACCTGATCAGTCCGTCCATAAATTAATGTCTTACCAAAAATGCATATTCAAAGGTGATAAACTGTTTATCAAAGTATTCACCGTAATAGTCATCAATCTAGTAATCACAAAATTGTCTTCAGTAAGCTATTTCAGAATATAAAAGTAGTAAGAAAACGACTCAACAACAATATCATCAGCATCTTAGAATAATAGATATAATACAGGATGCAATGTTCAAGAACCATAATTGTTTTAATTTAAAGAATGAAACATCATAAATACGAATGTGTAGTAAAGAGAAATGGACAACTCCAGTCTCATTATGTAGTACCGAAAAACAAATGAAATCAGTAAACAGGTAAAAATAACAAAAATGTAAATACACAATATTGTAGTCATTTCTTTAGGTACAATTTAATAATGCATTATTGATTATCAGAAGAGGGTTTTGTGGAGATTTTAGTAATTTTAATTGTTGAGATCATGAGTCACTTCAAGATGTATATCCTGGAGTTCTAGTGAGAAGCAGTGATCAGTGGAGTTCAACCGGGTCAGTTGTGAGATAGTAACTCACTGATGACAATGGTGGATGTGTCATTGAATTTCGTGGATTAGTTGAAGTTAGACATTAACACTGTTGGATGCCGGACGACTCAGTGGTCCAGTTAGTTAAGTGGTCGCGCTCGACTGATAGGTCCTGTCTTCAAATGTTGCGAGGCGGGATCGTGTATACTCACTGCTGAGCAATTCCACAATAGGATGAAACGACCGTCCAGTGCTTTCAGGTTTTCCATAGTTGTCTAGCTTCAACTGACTCATAATCTCAACAGTTAAAACTATGATTGTTAGAAACAATATATATACATATACATATGGTTTAGCAAAATGTAATAATAACCTTCATGTGATAATTACCATCGTTAATTGTTGTTTTCCTTTTTTAAAAAAAGAAAACAAAACAAAAGTAAACAGATTTTCATAAACAATTTTATTGCTCCAATAATAGTTTTTCTTTTTTTTCTTTTTTTGTTTGTAAAACATCAAAAAGGAAATTTTATTCAAAATATCCAATTTAACGGAAATAAATATGGATTATTTAGTAAATAGGGTGTGGGAGAGAGAGAGGGGGAGAGATTGGATGAAATGATGATGATGATGATGATGATGATGATGATGATGATGATGATGATGATGATGATGATGATGATGATGATGATGATGATGATGATGATGATGATGATGATGATGATGATGATGATGATGATGATGATGATGATGATGATGATGATGATGATGATGATGATGATGATGATGATGATGATGATGATGATGATGATGATGATGATGATGATGATGATGATGATGATGATGATGATGATGATGATGATGATGATGATGATGATGATGATGATGATGATGATGATGATGATGATGATGATGATGATGATGATGATGATGATGATGATGATGATGATGATGATGATGATGATGATGATGATGATGATGATGATGATGATGATGATGATGATGATGATGATGATGATGATGATGATGATGATGATGATGATGAATAAACAAGAGAATTAATTCTATTTTATAGTTTAGAATAAAACTTGTAATAATCAATTATGGAAACCTCTTTTTAAGATTATATTCAATAGAATATTGAAGAATATATGGAATTTAAATCAATTAACAATTAGTATCAAAGTCAAATGGGTTCTTCAAGATGAATGTCAAGAAAATTTGACCAACTTCAAGAAAGTACAAGTATTTCTAAACACTTATCAACGGAAGATAGTGAATGTTCGTTGATCGGATACTATATGAAGTTTTGTGCTGATGATGTCGTTCAGATGAACGATGAAATCTCCACGATCAAACCATCCAGTTTAGAGAACAAAATTCCATTAAAATCATTCACCTGAGCTATAAATCTTCTCCACCATCTCACCATCAGCAACATCTTACTGTGAGATAGGACAAATCAGGTTTCGGATGAGAAGGGACGTAGAAAAGGACGTTAGAGATGGATAGGACATACATTTTGGAAATCATCAGACTGCATCTCGAAGCAAGCGCTAACTTAGAATCCTAAATGAAAATAGAAAAGAAGAAGACCAACGGACACATCGCGTTGATAAATGGAAACAGACATGAAAAGGGTGAATAACAACAGGAAAGTACTGGGAAATATTGTCCAGGATAGGGTTGTGTGGAGATCGCTGTTGGGCGGCCTATGCTCCTACATGAGTGGTAACAGGCGTAAATAAGTGATGTGATAATGGTTAAAATTCAATAAATTCATGGTGTATACTCTAGTCATCATTTTTCTATTGTGATAATTTAATGAATGTGATTTTAAAGTTCAGTGGTGATGTTATTCTGAATCTGGTAAAATCGAAACAACAGAACGAGCAAGTCAGCAGTTTACAATATAATATCCTAGCTTCTGGATTAAAAAGCAACACAAAGATCAAATTAAATTTAACTGATGAGTTCCAAATCGGGTCGAATGTATCTACAGGATTCCACTTTAGTAGCCCTTCATTTTGATGTCAATTAGACCACACGATGTTGTCGACGGGCTCACCCCATAATTGGCCCGGGAATTCACTCCAATTGGATTGTGTGAATGTTATTGATTGATATTGAATCATACATATCTCCAATCCCCGCATAAAATTACAGACTTAACTCTCATTAGTGAATAACGGAATTAAATTAGTCAAATAGAAGAATGGATTTCGATTACGTATATTTTGTACCTTTGTTGATAGGAACAGGTAATCAGAGAATCGTAGCGAGTGAAACGAAGAAAGGAGAACGAAGCGAAACGAAACGAAACGAAATGAGGCGTATTGAAGATGGCGGATGAGCCAACTCCATTTGACCAAGCTTTAATCAGTATTTATAGTCATACAAAAATAAAATACGGACATGTGATGAGTAGGATAAGATGTGCACACATATACGCTCATGTAAAAGCAGTCAAAGTTGGTAGGTGAATAATTAACAAGGTCAAAATGTGACTCATGAAGAATGAATACAATGAACTGTCCAGAAGCTAGAATAAGTTATGTAGGGTTATCATAACAACTGACAACACACCAGTGCTAGCTATTACTCAAAATATAAAATAAACCGTTAGGTGATTCAAATTTGATAACTAATAGATTGCTGACGTGATTAAATTTATTCTACAAAGGTTCTATGATTTAACTATCATAGTTTTCTTCTGTAAAACAGTTGTCAACTAGTCTCAGGCTGTTGACTGTTACTGTAAGAGAGTACCCAAAGGATAACCCAAAGATAACTATAAGACGGCCACTGATGGGTATTATAAATGATTCGTAAAACCAATATGTTAATATGTCTAGAATACTATATCCAACGAATATCACACCATTTTTTCATAGAGTATTGAAGAGGTTATTACCTGCTTCAGTGATAACAAAGTAAATTTAACAGGCGTTTAAATGATACAACCTATTTATGATTCTTTATATTAATATACTATAAGACGTTCCAATCTATTTCCTCCTTTATTCTGTAGGTTAAGAAACGGTCGTTCTACTATAAATTATTATCTCCTCTGTTTAGGACTAATTGACTGATAAAATAATTTGTCAAGTTGAATAATACAAGATCAAACCGTTTGCATCGTTTCTATGTACTATGACTATAGTTATACATGTCTTGTAAAGCAAACAACTATCCAATCACTTTATTAAATGAATTTCTCTATTTTAAAAATATTTGCAAAAATATTATGGCAGATGATAGAAGAATAATTTTGTGGTTTACATCACAAATTGATTTTAATTATACAACGATTGAAAACCCACCAAACATTAGACAGATTTTCTATCCAATTATTGTACTCCTCCTCAATGGTACCCATGTACGATATTACCATGGATTGAACATGTGATTGTGTAGGTCTAGCTTCTAGTAATTAATTTTAGAACACTGAATTGGCATCTAACAAATGCAAATGAAGACAGCCAAGTGTAGCAGCAGTCTCTGCATCAGTAGGCCTCATCATACACAAGGGGAAAACCAAGGTCCTCAAATTCAAAGCGGAGAACAGCAATCCAATCACTCTTGTTGACGAAACTCTGGAAGATGTAGAATCCCTCACATACCTGGGAAGCGTCATCGATGAACAAGGAGGTTCAGATGCAGACGTAAAGGCGAGGATCGGCAAAGCAAGGGTCGCATTCCTACAATTGAAGAACATATGGGACTCAAAACAACTTTCAACCAATGTCAAAGTCACAATCATCAATACAAATGTCAGGGAAGCTCTACTGTATGGAGCTGAAACTTGGAGAACTACTACAACCACCATCAAGAAGGTACAAGTATTTATAAATAGCTGTCTTCGCAAAATACTCAACATCCATTGGCCGGATACCATCAGCAACAGCCTTTTGTGGGAGAGAACAAACCAACTTCCAGCTGAAGAAGAAATTAGGAAAAGACGATGGAAATGGATAGGACATACATTACGCAAATCGCCAAACTGCATCACGAGGCAAGCCCTAACTTGGAATCACGAAGGGAAACGGAAAAGAGGAAGGTCAGAGGACACACTACGTCGAGAAATAGAAGCAGATATGAAGAGGATGAATAGGAACTGGAAGGAGCTGGAAAGGTTTGCCCAGAACAGGGTTGGATGGAGACTGCTGATGAGCGGCCTATGCTCCTTCACGAAGCGTGACAGGCGCAATTAAGTAAGTAATTAAGTAAGAATTGGCATCTAGTGGTTTACATTCTTAATTTTAATTCATTCAGAAAATTTCGGGTTACTTAAAGTTGATTAAACATATGTAATCGCGAAATTGTCACTTGGGCTCATTAATTAATTATTGTAAATTGAGTCATTAAACAGTTTAACAAATAGTCTTACAATTCAAATGGTTAGATAAAAGCGTATTCTTATTTTGAGTGTAACACAAAAATCCTAAAGTCATTTAAATTTTGAATTGATCATAACAATATGACATATATGATAGTTGAGTGGCCCGAGATCTGACTCTAGGTTGATCGGATGGTCAAAATGTGAGTTTTATATCGATTGAGCTGGCTTCGCTGATTTTCTTCGTTTACAGTACAAAGTGCGAAAGGTTTGTCATTAACATAGTTGATTATATTAGGTTCTTCGTTAGTGGGCTCACCACCAGAGTGGGCCGGATATCTAACTTTTGATAGATCGGACGAATGATTGTTATTGAAATATACATATCACCAATCCTCACACATAATTATCGATTTAATTTGCATTAGTGGCCCACCAAGGTGCTTCGTACCTGTATGGTTGCGCCACAGGATTGAGCTGTACTATTCAGATTTTAGCGTTAAAGCATATACGGTGTTTGGTTCTCCTGTGAAGCGCGATTGAGCTGTACTGTTTGGGTTGTCACGTGGAAGCTCGGATGGTGTCTGGTTCTCCTGAAAACCAATGTAAAATTACCCTGGCCCACAAGGGTATATTATATAACTAGTGAATAATGGATTTTTGAATACGTATTAGATATCCGGGCGATTAAAACAGCGAAATCTTTCCTTTCATAGACTGAGTTTTATGATTTTATTTTTCTTCTAGAATATTTTAGTACCATGAAAATAACCGAAAATCTGATGAGTATTCATTTATAGGAAACTGTATACAATAGATAAGCTCTGTAGTCACCTTTACACTGAACTTTGATTTTTTCAGTAACATGAGGTCCTAACTATAAACATTGAGATAGTGGAGAAGATTTGTAGTTCACTTGGATGATTTTGATAGGACTTTGTTTTCTGAAATTAGTGCTTTAATCATACAGATATGGTTGTTACTTTGAAGAATATCATCAGCGAAAACTTCAGGTACTCTGAGATTTATATTTTATTTATTATTTTTGATTTCAAATTCGATTTTCGAATAAATGGAATACGTATTTTAATGTACAAAGTTTGTATTCCACCACTCTTAGAATATTCCTAGTAGTGTGCGCATAAATGATAAATTAAGGTACAGAGATGATTTACACTTCGGATTCTTGGCACTGATTGTCCCCTGACTTATAATTCCAGATATAATACACTTGGGCTCGACCCTTTATGGAAGAGGAGACTCAAACTAAATCATATCTTTTTCGTCAAAATACTTAATGAACTATCCTTCGCATCTAGTCAGGTAGTTCAATTTCCAGGAACTCCTTATCACTAGTGAAACAAACTCATTCTAAATCATCCTTCTATATGAATTACTTGACCTGTAAATTTTCTAGACTCTGGAATAACCTATCACAATCTATCCGTAAGATAAGATCACTCTCATCCTTTGTTCACTGCATTGATAAATACTGCTTCTATGAAAATCCATTAAATGTTTTAGCATTTGTAAGTGTATCTTATTCCGCAAGTGAGATTATAGGAACTTTAAATGTTTGACCATTTTTAAGAGTGAATTCCCTAAGTAAAACCACCTACCTGCTGTTACTTTTGGTTAACATTGTCCCTAGTAACCTTAACTAATTTGAATAATATCTAAGATAAAAAATATATATCTGTGTCACATGACACATGCATTTAGG